ATGAGCCAGATGTGGGGGGGGCGGGGGGGTGGATTGGTGGGACATCAGGGTGGTAGAGGAGCAGGACAGAGACATCTGAGCACTCCTCAGAAAAGCAAGCTATTCTTAGGCCTCCCTCTGTCACCAGCCCCCTGGGGAGGAGAATTCAGTCTCAAAAATCACAGCTTTTTAGTGACTGTTTTAGTTCCTTCAAAACACAACTTGCCTTTGGTCTGGGCAGCTGTGCCTCAGGCCAGGCTGTGGCTCCTTTTTTAAAGTGGAGTCCCCCTACCCAAGCAGAGCCCCATACTGTTTTACAGGGTATGTGAAGAATTCAAGAAGCAATAGGTCCAAAGATTCAATATAAAATGCAAAATCAGTTGTCACAATATCAATTGACACCAGGCAGGGCTTGGTAAAGAAGGGAACTATTCAGTATAAACAGCCCAACAGTGACACGGCTGCGAAATAGCTCAATATTGCTGCAGTGCAGCTGTGAAAACAACCCGGCTTATGGAATAGCTTAATTTGAGGCAGCAAAGCTGAGAAGACAGCACAGCTGTGAGGCTTCTCCTCAGTTAGGCAGCTCTGCTCTGCTGAGGCATATTCAGAGTTTCAGCTCAGCCAGGAAGCTCCAACCTTCAGTGGAAAGGAAAAGTGGCTCCCTGAGCAAGAGGGAAGCTGGCTTATATGAACAGGAGTCCCCACCCCTGGTCCCTGATTGGTCCATCCTCATGTAAATGAGGACTCCAAACCCTCTGTTTGATTGGTCCAAAGGCACTGTCCTGATTGGTCAGAATAGAGCCACTCTGATTGGTCAGAGCTGCACAGCTCTGATTGGATGGGGAAAGCCTCAGTCCTACTGGTTGAAATAGGATTCCAGGAACTCCTTCATAAGGACTAGCTCAGATGGCAGAAACACAAATGCAGGCAGGCAAACTAGCACAGGCTTCTCTGGGAAGTGCAGTTTGTGTGAGAGGCTCCTGTGCTGAAATGGGTGCTGGGCTCTTTTAAAATCTGAGCCCAGATAGCCACAAGGACCCCTTCTTAGTAGGTGTCTTTTCTCCCCGCTCAGGGTTCACGGCAGTTTTCAGTTGCAAGCAACTGGGGTACCTTCAATGCTGAAGATGTTTATTAGTTCAAACTGAAGGATTCTGGAGGTGGGGCTACCAGCGGCAAACCCACTGCTCTGCAATTCTCCCTGATGTGTTCTCTCTTGGCAGTTATTTAAGAAGCTTGGATGTCCCTCCTGTGTAACCTAATCAATGAGGGCCCTCCACAAGGGTGCTGATATGTGGACAAGCTGACTCATTCTTTGCCAACTGGCCCTGGGCTCAGGCACCCCCACTGGCATCTTCTACTTAGTAGGAAGTCCATGGCTCCTCAGGCTGTGTCTGAGGGATTCCAATCCAGACATCTTCTCAAGGTGGTACGTGACAGTGCCCCAGGATCTATTCTACCAAACCAGAAACTCCAGCAATAATAGTCTCAACACTTTCTCCCTCCCGTTGAAGGTGTCAAATGGGGACTGAGGCTCATAATGTTAGAGGGTCAATTAAGAAGGGTAGGGCCCAGACAAAAGAGAAAGTGGGCCTCAACCTGGGTTTTCGAACTCCCATGTCTTTATAATACTGTCTCTCTTGGTTCAACTACATTCTTCTAGTCTGAAGATTCATCTTTAGATGGGCTTCCTGCCCCAGAAAGTGTCTAATCTGGATACTGGGTGGCAGAAGGTCAGTGTCCATAAAGCCTCAAGCTAACCCCACCTTAGTGTCCCTCCAGCCCTCCAGCACACAGCTATATCTGCCCCCAGATCATGTGCTCCTTGAGGGCAGGATGTGGATTGGGGCACCATGCAGCCAGGGTTTGATGAATGATAGTGATGTCCTAGTCCTGGGGAAGCCCCTCCAAAATGGTTTGTTAGTGAGGGGTGGAGAGTCTAGCATTTATGCATTTATGTGCCTGGTCTAAAGTGAGGCTGGGGTAGTGGGCAATAGCACCCAGGTTCCAGGACCTTCTTTGCCCACACTTTTAATGGTTCATGCTCCCTAAGTTTATAGCCTCTGAGAATGGCCCATCTAGGGGATCAGAAGGAGGCAAATGAAGGAGTACAGCAGGGTGGCAAGTGGCAGGCAGAGCTGCACCAGGGAGCACAGCAGCTCTACTTCCTGTGGGTGACAGGCCTGATGCCTGCCCCCAGGGAGAGGTTGCACAAACCTTTCTGCACAGGCTCAGGCTGCCTGAACGCCAGGCCTATGTACCAACTTGCCTCTCCCTCTGGTCACTCTCTCCCACCTGGGGCTGGCATCACTGCTAAGTCCTACAGCCTGGACTGCGTCCTCCATCACCGTGGAGCTGGCGAGGGGCTGGGCCGGAAACCAGGACCTGCCCTCCCGTCATTGAGCACTACTCCTTCCTCATTTTGCTGCTGATTCTAGCCCCAAACAAAACAGTTGAGCCCTTTTCCTTCCTCTGGCAGTTCGTCTCTGGCTTCTGAGGTACTGCAGACAGCACCAGCCAAGTTGGGGGAGCCTGGGCCAACACTGCCAGGACTGAGATAGTGTGCCGTGCTCCTGGACCCGGTTCAGCCCTGTCTGTGGGAGGAAAGAAAGCTTTGTTGTGGCAGCCTGAGGATGATGCCCCAGCTTCAGTTCAGAGATGCATTTTGGGTGAGTGAAGACTACCAGAGAATTAAAAAAGTGGAATGGGCCCCAGGGAGGGCAGATTGGCTGAAATTTCCCCAGGGCAGTTGAGGATATGGTTTGAAGAGAAGAGAGAGGTTTTCTCATAAAATTAGTGGTTGTGTTTTGGTCTTAATTGTGGAGGTAACCTGGGCCACCATCCCTTCTAAGTTGGAAGATAAAGGGGGTTCTCAGCCTGGGGTATGATTTCTCTGCAAACTTCAACACAGTGGGTGAAAGATAACCCCTTTTCTTCCAGGATTTCTCTTCCAGGTGACCCTCTCGTCATAGCAGGATTTTTTGAGAGGAGTCTAATACGTGGGTGGGAGTTTGAAGAGGCCAGGTGAAGAAAAGAAGGGAATGGGTCATAGGTTGGGGACTATACAAACTTGAATTTGGATATTGGCTCTGTTATTTAAAGGCTGGACAAGTCATTTTACTTCTTGAGCCTCATTTTCCCCATCTACATAGTAGAGATAAATATTAATAAATATACCAGTCCAATGGGAGGATTAAACAAGGTGATCAAATGTAATAAAGTCCCCCACACCTTGCTGGCATTCAAATGGTAATTCTCTTCCCTCACCCAGCCCCCTTCCTTGCAGCCCTTAGGGACCCTTTTAAGAGGTAGCAGGGCTGGACAATTCCTTGCTCACTTTCTTAAATTCAGTGCAGGTGTAAATCAAATCCTTTCTGCCATGAGAGAATAGCACCGCTGGCTTGTAAAGGTTAAATGGCTTGGCCCAGGCCACACATCCTGTAAGCCCAATTTGGGCCCCAGATTCCCCTCAGCTTTTTTTCAGCTGTCCCTCATCCTTCCCCTCTGTTCCTGAACCTCTGGCTGTCCCCAGTGGCTCATGGGGAAGAGCTGAGACCTCTCTAAGAGCTGAGGAATATGACTGTCCCAAGGGCCCCCCTTCTAGCCCCATAGAAGACTCCCTTTGCTTCAGCCAACAGCCTGCCTTCCCTGAGTCTTTTTCTGGGGCCTGGGGACAGCATGTGAGTGACCTGCTTCCTGCCTACACTGACCACACAGTGGGCAGAGGGCTGCTGGGGAGGGTACTCTGTGCCTCTCTGGACCTCTGTTTCCCCATCTCTACAAAGAGGGAATGGGACCAGCCCAGAGATGACAATGGAGACAGACCTAGCTCAGCCCATCCCATCTATCAGGCTGCTCTGACTTGGAGTACAAGGTTGGGGAAAGGGGTAAGGCCTGGAAATCCAGGTTGCTCTGTAGCCCAGAGCAGGCCAGGAGACTGATTATTTAACCTCCAGGACATCTATCCCAGACCTAGCTCAGCCCACCTTTCCTAGGACAGAGCTGGGGGCAAGAAACAACCCCATGGCAGGATCTGGTCAGTAGGGGATGGTGTATGAGGGAGCAGGGTGTGGCAGCAGCAGCAGCAGCAGCAATAGAAGCAGCAGCAAGAAAGCAGCTTCCTGAGCCGCATCCTGCCACACTCTGCGCTTGCCCCACCCTGAGCCACTGTGGGCTTCCTGGGCTCCAAATGCCTCCTGTCCTCCACTGCTGGCTCCCTGGGTCTGACATGAGAGTAAAGTTTCCCTGGGGAAGGTCAGAGCTGGGACAGGGAGAGAAGTGATCAATGGGAGCCTGTCACACGGAGCCTAGGCAGATGCCCCAGTGTCAGCATCATTGCTCCCAAGGCTTTGAATTCTAACACCTCTCCCTGATCCTCAGCCCATGAGGACAACTAATACAGAACCATGTGTCAATTCACTCCTTTATACTGATGAAGTAGATGCTATTGTTATCCATATTACTCAGAGGAAAAAAATTAAGGAAGCTTAAGTAACTTGCCCAAGATCACACAGCTTGGATTGAACCCTGACAAGCCAGCTCCAGTGCCTGGGTTCTCACCCAGGGTGCTTCATTATCCTCTATCAACGTGGCAAATCACTAAATTTTGGGGTCACATTGGTGAAATGGACAAAAAAAAATCTGTCCTCCTACCTCCCAGAAAAGTTAGGAGATCAGACAAGGTTGATAGAAGTGCCTTGAAGCTCAATTTACACATAAATCTGTAAAACACAAAAGATATACTGATCTAACTGCCATGGGAATGTTAGGGACAGAGTTCAGCCTGCCCCTTCCCCTATTTTTTCCCCTACCCCTGCCCAAGGCAATACCCTTAAACCCTTTAATAGTGGAAGGAAACCCTAGAACTAGGAAAACCATGTCTCATACCACAGCACTTCAGTTATCCGGCAACCTCAATATTCCTGAACACAGGTGTCACCAGCCCTGTTTCTGGCACTAGCTTACAGTAAGGAAACAAAAGTCATTTTTGAGAAGCTAAGAGCTTACATTAAAGCTCATATACTTTACTTACACCAGATGGTCCATAGCTTTTAGTTAGGACCTATGAACTCTGATTTTACTCACAATTTTTACAAGATTGGTCATGTGATTTTTTAACCTATTATGCAGCAATTAGTAGGAGTCTGCATGGAACATGATATATAGTTGGTGATTGATAAATGGTGGACCTGAACTTTTAGAGACAGTTTCAAGATAGCTGGTAGCTTGATAGCAAGGGAGGAGACAAAAAAAATTATAAAAAGCAGACATAATGGCTCAGAACTGGTGGAAACATTCAGCATAGGTGTAGACCAGTCCTGTCCCTCATTGGGCCTGTATTTGCAATGTTATCAGTGTGGACACACAATATTTATTTATAGCCTTCTTTTATCTGTGGCAGAGCATTCAGATGCAGGCTGCTGTGGAAATGAGGTGGCAGAAGGCTAGCCACACAGGGAAGAAAGGGATAATTTGATTTCTTTTATACATACACTGCGATAAAAATCATCATAGCTTTGCAGGAAGTTTGTGGCTGAGCCTCAGAGCAGGGCCTGTCAGTGAGACAAGGCTGAGGCTGTGAATACAGATGCCTGAGGTGGAAGGCTTAGATCTCCTATAACCTGCCTCAGCACCAAGTTAGAGGGGCATAGAAGCCCAGAGAAGGCAGGGTGCTTCCCCCAACCCCTCCCATACACACAGCTCTCCTTGCCAGTGGCTCTGCTCCCAGCAAACAACCAAACTGTATTACAAGAAACATTTGTCTGCGTCCTCAGCCCATGACTGGCAAGTGGTGTATATGCTCAGTCAATGTTTGTAGAATAAATGAATTGAACAGTGAATATCTCCATGGTCCCACCTGCCTTCTTGAACCAATTTTCTCCTCCATTTCACTTTAGTTATAATCTACAAAGATTTATTAAGCAGGGTTCTTGACTAGGTGGTTTAAGCTGTACCCCTGAGCCTCACCCCTACATCCAATTAGATGAAAGATACCATCTTGTCCTCAAATAAGTCACAGTGCAGTGCTGGAAACTCAGGTTCCCTGATAACTAGGCCAGTCCCTGTGTACCAAGAGGAACAGGGCTCTGAGATGTGCCTTTGCCTCCCACTGTCTCACTCTCTCCCAGCCCTATATATGCAATGGTCTTTGCAAAGAAGTCACTGGATATTGTTTGAAGAGGGAAACTTTAGTCCTAGACCAGGTTTTATTAAGATCCACATTCTATCGCTTTTGGGGTCATTAAAAGGAAAAGTAAGGGTTTAAGGAGGCTGAGCCAGAGATACTACAGTGACCTCTCATCACCACCACCACCCCACCTTTAGGCAGGAGCCACCAAGGGGGACCAAGAGAATAGGCCTGAACTTTTCCCCTCTGATTTGTGGTCACATCTCTCCCCTTTGAAGCTGGTCTCCAGCTTCATTTGAAAACCTCTGTGCCAAGCTGGGAGGATCTGAGGACCCCAACAGACAGAGGACAGGGGAAAGTACTCCTCCCTTGGTGGGGCAGATGAATTACTAGGGAGGCACACAGGACTAAGGCTGGGCCCACCCCTCCCCCATGTGTCCATTCAACTGCTGTAGCCTCTTCCCCTTCCCAGTTCTGAGATTCTGAGCTTCCCCATTTAGGAGGCTAGAGAGAGGGGCCCCATTTTTGGCCTGTCCTAAAGCTGCCTGTCCCCTACCTCAGGACCTGCCAACAGTGGCTCCAGGGCCTCATGGAAAATCAGGAGAGGTTGATGTTCACTGGATGACTGTTCTGGACACTTAAAAGCTATGAACATACCTTAAAAGCAACAAATATAAGATCCTAAAAGGAAAGTGGAAAATAGGAATAAAATAACCTTTGTTGTCTCATCACACTGAGACAACTGGTAATATTTTACCATGTTTCTCTAAGGTTCTTTTACATAGGTGCGAGCATATTGTCCACTTGATTTTGTATTCTCCCCCACCCATTTTCTTGCATTTTAAACTTTATTTTTAATCATGGTAAAATACCCCTAACGTAAAACTTACCATCTTAACCATTTTAAATGTACAGTCCAGATGTGTTCATTACATTCACATTGTTGTGCGGCCCGCCCCCCTTTTCAACATAATTCCATTTTGAACATGTGCGGTTGTGGATGTGGTTTCCTTGTCTTCAAAACAACATTGTTAATGAGTGCACAGTCCTCCAGCTGGTAGATTGGTGGACATGCTATGATTTATTTACCCAATCTTCTATTGTACATTTGGGTTACTGCCAATTATTTACTGTTCTGGACCATGATGCAATGGGTAGATCTTTGTATATTAAGGTTTGCGTTTGAGGATTATTTCTTTGGGTATATCCCCAGAAGAGGAGATATTCCTGGGTAAGAAAGTAGGGGTTCTCTAGCATTTGGCACTAACAGACCCTTTGGGACCCCTCATAGCCCTCTGGCTGGATAGGAGCTGGAGGACTGAGCTGATAGGGGCTCTTCTGGGAACCAAAGTCTGCTCAGACACTGTGGGAGGACTTGCAGTAGGGCAGGCCCTGTAGCCTTGAAGGCTGAGGACGTCAGTGGCTGAGGAGCAGGTCCTTCCCTGAGCAATAGGGGCTTAAAGGCCAGAGAGGGAGGCCCTGGCTGTTCTACCTTTGCTGCCTCCAGTTGCCTTCCCAGTGTCTCCCTGGTCATGGCTGCCA